ACACACACACACACACACACACACACACACACACACAGGAGTGGTCGGCTGGTACACACACAGGCAGAATATTACGGATGATTTCTGCTTTGATGTGTCACCTCTGCAATAACTTAGTTTTGCATTGATTTTGGGGTTTTAGTCCTCTCAATATGTTACAGATTTCTAAAATCCAACAAGTCATCTTAATTGTTAAAAAAAAAAAAAGAACATCAGTCTATCTCAGTGGTTCCCAACCCTGGTCCTTGAGGCACCCCAACACTGAACATATTGCATGTCTCCTTTCTCTGACACTCCAGTTTCAGGTCTTGGAGTCTCTACTAATGAGCTGATGACCTGAATCAGGTGTGTTTGATTTAGGAGATATGCAAAACGTGCAGTGTTGGGGTGCCTCCAGGACTAGGGTTGGGAACCACTGGTCTATCTAATGTTCTGACACCTTAGGTATGTTTTAAGTTAATTTAATTATACATTCTAAATTCAAGTCAATGAATGTAATGTGTTTTCAGAATGGCTGCTGTAGCTAATGTGTTAACATGTAAAATTAAGAAAATCTTCTGCATTAAAATAATATTTAAATAATACAAATATATGGAAATTTATGTATATTTAATATTTATTCAATAGTATTTAATTATTCAATATTCAATAATACTTGTATTTTATTTCTGTAAGTTTGCCCCGTAAGCTTCCATTGGAGTGTCCAAATGGAGCTTGTTTTTAATACAACATATTTAATGTTTAATGTTGTAAAAAAAAAAAAAATTACATATATAATACATTAGCACAGGAGTGTATTTTTAATAAATATGCAGCCAACATATAGAAAAATAATAGAATAACGCTAATTCATAATGGCTAATTTATTCATAAATCAAGTTATCAAAGTTCAGTGTGAAATATCATCAAACCGTAAAATATATTGTTGGTAATTCTATTATTTCATTTTTAAAACTTATTTTCTTGCCTTTCAATCAGAATTAAAAAATTTACAATTATTCACAATGCCTTCGAAAAAATGAGACTTAATTGTGATTATTTTAAATTATGGTAACAGTCATATTTTTAGTTGGATTGTTGTTAGGTTTTTGAAAGTGTTTTGGCGTGAAGGAGATTTTGATTAAGATTTGAAAGGAAATTGCCTCGAATTTGTGTCATTCTGAGTCTGAATGTAGATTTGGGAAAGGTCTGATCACGCTGCTTACTGGAATCCACACCTGCCTCTATAAACCCCCGTCCCATCTGCTGAGGGGTGAGTGGGGGAAAGTCACATGATGGGAGGAGGGGGCTCTTAAAGAGCTTCTTCCTGCACTCTGCTGTTTTACAGACGAGCGACGTTGGGTTATAAATATAATGCAGCTGAGTCCTGTCATAATCTCTGTCTCTTGCTCTATATAAGAGACCCGTCTGCAGGGAGTCCATGAGATGAATGTCAGACACAGATGATGTCACTCAAATTTACACTGAAAAAAAAAACTGATTTACCTGGAAATCTTTTTCACTCAGAAATTACTAGTAATTTTTTCACATAATTACGAAGTAACGGCAAGTAACATATTAAATTAAACATGAAAGTAGAAGGACTGAAATATTTTTTATTTATGATTATTTGCACAGCCCTAATATATATATATATATATATATAT